CCGGAAATAGAAAAGTGAAGAGTGAAAAGGGTTTCCGACTGTAAACCCACCTTTTATACCCTGTTCGAAGTATACGTGTTGTCCACACAGTGTAAGGTATAGTCCAAAGCCCAAATATTTTAAAAATTAAACTTTTTGAGGATTTAAAAAATTAAAATTAACATAAACTAAAATAGAAATAAAGTAAAATAAAATAAAATGATTTCTAAAAATTTAAAAGTTTAAAATTTGACAATTATAAAATTAAGATAAAATAAATAAAAAATTAAAATTAAAATTAAAATTAAAATAAAAAATAATAAAATAATAAATAAAAAATAAAATACAATAAGAGTAAACTTATCTCAACTAACACTAAATATACTTTTGTGACACATGGATCAAAGTTGTTAGACAGCCTTAATCCACTTGTCGGTACCTTCACCTTTATGTCTTTGTCTGGTCGATCGCCGATATTGTGATCCATTTAAACACGAAAAATTATGATCAATTTGGACAAGCCAATAAAGACACGACACTTTTGATCCTATATTTTTTAGATAAATTTCCTAGAGACCATTTAGCTGACGACGAACATGGATATTGTTGTCCACCTAAATTGATCCGTTTGATCTACAGACAATCTGCAATTGTTCAATTTTAATTGTACTAGAACATGTTTCCAGCTTCCTAATATACTCCAATAATCAGGGACTTCCAGAATACTCCTTACATCGGGTGAGCAGACAATTATTGAGAGAGAAGATAAATTTAGAATGCAAATGCTATACACCTAGGTCGGATCTCTTCCAACCACACAGAGGATGAAACATATGAATAACTGAAGTATTAGAGGGATTAAGAAAAAGAATGATGCATATACTATGTACCAGGTCAGATTGTAAGCCACACAAAGGAGACAATATATGGCTAACAGATAGAAATAATTGCATAGATAGAAGATGCATAGATATAGAGTTGCATATGTTAACAGTCTAGGTCGGATCTCTCGATGACGCAGAGGAGGCAACATATGACTAACAGACAGAAAGAAAGAAAATAACCTTTTACAGACCTAACTTATCAGAACACCACAGTCACCCTCATCAATAACGAAATTAAGGACAGAATCCGCACATCGAGGAAAAGTTAATCCACAGTTCTAGATAAGGATTCTTTTAGTGTGACCAGTAGATTCTCATATATATATATATATATATATATATATATATATATATATATATATATATATATATATATATATCCCCGCTATTTTTATTTTTTATTTTATTTTATTTTATTTTTATTTTTTATTTTTATCTTATTTTATTTTAGGATAAGTTAGTTTAAATTTGCGCATTGTTTTACTTCATTCTCACTCATGCACAAATTTAGGGGAGAAATAAACAAAAACCAAACAAAAAATGAAAATTTCAAATATCCAAAAACATTAAAAATCAAAAAATAAAAAATATGTTGCTAATTCTTTTGGTTGTAGGTGATGTGATGGGAAGTGATATTATCAAGTGATAACAGGCAATCTGAATCCGCATAATGTACCAAAATTAAATTGTCTACGCTCAGTGTTCGATGCGCTGGTAGGCACAAAAGATTCTAAATGGATTTGACTAGGAAGCGTTGAATTTAAGGAATTCAAGGACTTGACAAATCTTGAACTAGTTAGATCCGTTTAGACTGACAATACGACGCTCGGATAGGTTGAGCGGGGATATATATATATATATATATATATATATACACACACACACACACACACACACACACGCCATTTACTCGCGCCAAGCGACAGGTGTGACAATGGTTGTTGAATGCTGAAAGATGAATTAAACCCTAGAAATGGAAAAGTCAGCGATATATATATATATATATATATATATATATATATATATATATATATATATATATATATATCCAAGATTTGTGAATAGAAATTGCGAGATTTGGGGAAATACGGAGATAAGGAATGAACCGGATCAAAATAGCCTAAGAATATGGTATAAGAGATTTGACCTTTTCAACTGTTGACCATATGTACTCTACTCTTTTTGTAATGCATAAATTGATTGTACAAATGCATTGTATGTTGGTACGACTTAAAATTCAGCATTTGACTAAAAATGTTTTATAAGGTAATTAAGATATATATATATATATATATATATATATATATATATATATATATATATATATATACTAGCCGTTACCCGCGCACAGCGGCGGGGACAAATAGCTTCTTTTAACGATATTTTTTTAAAGAAAAATGTTATGTTCCAAAAGAAAGTTCATGTCGTGGGTGAGAGGAAGGGCGATAGTCGTGATAGTGGTTGGTTGAAGGTGGAAGGAGGCAGAGCGGCTGTGGTGGTGGTGGTTATACTGTCTTGGTTACTGGTTAGGGTTCTTCGAGAGAGTGTGCGTATATTTCTTATTTTGAAGGGATTACGAAGATAGATATTATGAGATGGCTTGTTACCAATGTGAGAGAAGAGATCCTCTATAAATTGTTGACATTGACCACTTCAAATGGCTGAAGTGTTGAGATTGACGTGTTCAATTTGCAAATGAAGTCTTCTATTTATTTGATACGAGATTTTTAAGGGATAAAGGATATGGTTAAAGTTTTAATATTATTATATTATAAATGGGTTGTACTTCAAGCTTAATAGTTTGGACGTCTTAAAAAAATAATATTATTATATTCAATCTATTTATAGAAATAGTTAGATTTCTTTTATAAGTAGTAAAGATATATATATATATATATATATATATATATATATATATATATATATATATATATATATATATAAAGTGATAATTATGGAAGAAAACAAAAGGATAGACAATATATTTAAATGTACCATAACCTATCAAAGAAAATCTATAAAAAAAGATAATTATTATATATAAGGTTAAGTATATATAAAAAAATTATGGTATCAAAGAAAGATTAAATAAGGAAATGATAAAACGATAATCATACTTAAGATTAAATAAACATGTGTTAGTGAGCTGTTATTATTCATCCTATAGCCTTACAAAATTTGGTTAGACTTTAAATCTATAATCGTTAATCTTGCGAGAGCCAGAAAGATATGTATAGATCTATACGGGGCTGACTCCCCCACTTGCGATTGCTAGCTACAATCCCGACATGATAACTTTCTTAAGCATAAAAGTAATATTACTTGACGTCCGATGAAGCATCATATTGGGGTATTTATCAGTCCACAACGTCGATTATAGGGGCTCATGGTAATGTTGTTCGGAAAATCTTAATTTAAACTTCCTAGTAGGACGCCTTCAAGTAGTTGTATGATTCTATTATAAAGATTTGATAAAATTATAAAAGTTTATAATAGGTATTATATCCTAAAGGTAATAAAATCTTTTTAAAGAAATGTTTTATAATATTAGGATAGATAGTACGTCCTAATGATAACATTCAGTAAACAAAAATGTGATTATTAGATCTGGAAATCCTAGGAGATATTTCTAAATAAAGATCCTAAAAGTTTTCAAAGAACTTCATTGATATTTTTAAAATATGTGAACTCAGTAACATCAAGTTGACGTTTTCAAAAATCGTATGTATTCCTAAGATAAAAGGAAGCTCAGTGCAAGGAAGAGAAGGTTGCACGAAGATAGATAAGTTTTTAGTTTAGTCAATGTAATTGATGTTATTAATAAAAGATAAATTTATGTTCTGGAATTGTGCGGCAAGGTCAACCCTCGGCGCTTCCACCGCCAGGGTGTGTGCAATGCTTAACTCTAATTGTCTTTTTTGTTCAATACTTTACGAAATTATTTTCAAATTGACCATTATCAGCTACTATTTCACCAACATACCCTTTTACATATAGCATATAAATATAATGTGATAAAGTGCATTTTTACATATTTTAGTCATAAAAATGACTACAAAAGTATCCTAAATGCCCCATAAAATATGTATAATTTAGGTCATATTAGTTGTGTTATGTGAATCCATTTACTTAAATATGTTGAAATTTATTACCAAACCTATATATTTTCATGTTGGGTTGTTTTGTCATGTCAAGTTTTACCAAGCCTAGAAGTTACTAAGGAGAAGGTCTAGAACTTCCAAAAATTGCATTTAGAAAAGAGATCTTCGAAATTATTGGTTTTCAGCTCTTATTTTGTTGTTCAAAACCTTTTAACATTTACTGGTTAATTTTCTTTTCTTTAACAAATTTTCTTCCTTACTTCTTTGAGGTCGTCACATATTTGAATTCTCTATCGGGTTCTAAGTTGACTCGTTTTGTTTCACCTTTTTAATGTCAAAGAGTTTCTCCTGGATGAGCATTTTGTAAAGGTCTAAAAGCTTCCTCCTTTAGTTGTGAGGAAAACAGAGAGCAAGCCCTCCAACCCAGCTCCCTAGAAAAAGAAAATGCCTCTTGAAGTGGGACAAGAAATCTTTTAGGGTCTGAACTAAACCCTTTTGAGATGAAGCAAAAGATTATCAATCTTACACAAACTATAAGTCAAGATTTATATATACATACGACTCAACGTCATGCTTTTTTTACATTAAATATCAAGTCAAATTCAAATTTCGATTGCATACTAATTGCATTTCGTTTCGTATGAAAAGTATTTTGAAATCCATGTTAATTCATAACAAACTTTTTGTTAAAAAGTTTTTTTTCGCAACTTATAACGCATTTCTCGCAACTGACCAACTTCCAAACTTGATGATTTTTTTCGTTATTTCTCAAAAAAACTGTTTAAAATATTAGAAGTAATTAACAAATATGATTATCTTGATGAACATGATATTTCGTTTTTCATCATTATAGTTATTAGCCCATAAAAAAATTATGTCGTTACATAAATCAATATAAACATTATTAATCTCGTGAAAGGTGGTACAAGAAACGAGCTTAGAGCTGGACAAAAGAGGAGGGTCCATTAATGGCTGTCTTTTTGTAGTTCATTCCCATATAAATTAAAGAAGAAGTTACCAAGAATGCAGAGAGTAATAATACGCTAATAGTCTCTCTGTCGATCCTTTTCTCCTTTCTTTTCCTATAACTGTGTTCTGACGAAGTGTTGTACCTTTTACTATTCTTTAGGTACTTTTCTTGGCTTGTGGCTTCTACTCCATTAGCAATCTAGATGTGCGATCTTTTTGCTTCAAATCGCTGAAGAAAAAGAAGAGGTTTTGACTTTTTGGTCAAAAAAGAAGTGTATGCATATAGCGGCTCAATGTTCCATTATTTTGAGAATTTCTCACCTGATGATCAGCACTTTAATGATTTCTGTCACTCACAGAAGTCTAATTCTTGTTTGGTAATTCCATTTTCACTGGTTTTCTTGTTTGAATCTATCTTTATTGGTGATACAATCAGTTGCTTGCTTGTTAGTTTTGAGTTTTTAGAAATCATTGTTTGCAATGCTTGGTTTTTATATTATGAGTGCTTTTTCTGTGTTAAGTTAGCAATTTAATCTGTAAGGTTTACTGACTCTCAACAAATGTTGACTTTTTTTTGTTGGTGTCTTTGTTAAAACCATTATATTTTTTTAATTAGTTTTGTTTATTGTTAAGATGTAAAAAAGATATATTAGCTAGTTTTGTTTCAAATAAAATGGCAATTCGTAAATGGTAAACAAGTTCTATGAAGTTTCTTGCATTATGTAATTCATTTTTATGTCATTTTCAAGATTTAATCACTCAAAATTTTTTTAAGTTTTAATGGCTCGACTTTTAATTTAGTTTTTTATTATGAATTTTCTGTCTTTTTAACTAGATATTGCCTTGATCACTCTTTTTTTGTACGGCATTTGATCACTCTTAATGATATGACTCCCAACTTCCCTAATGATGTAGACTAGAATTATTGAAACGATTAAAAGATGATGGCAACCTAATAATTTTTTAATTTATCGAAATGTTCTTATTCAAACTACTTAATTCCTAGAATCTATGAAGGGAACTATCAAGCATCTAATTAATTGTTGATGCGTACTATAATGCTAAATATTAATGCTGATTGTAGTAATTACACTATTGCCACATGTATTGTTAGTTTTGTTTCTTAGGAAATGTTTTTAGTGGAAACTAAACAAGTATGCTAACATTTGCTAGAATAAAAAATCTCTAACACTGAAAACACTTGGTTTCAATAAATTTGTACTTAATTGTTAAACTAATGATATAACAAATCGGGAACAAATACTTGTTAAACTAATATGTAACAAAACTGGAACGCATTTCAATAAAACATGGTTGATCATATATGATCTGTTTCTAGTAACTTTTATTTTCTTGTTTTAGGTCTCTAGTATATCCGATTATGACTTCGGGTTCAAAGAGGATCTTTTCAAAGCACCAGAACCCATAATAGAACAACCAATGATAACCCTGTGTGGAGAAGACATCATCTTTCCAGAAAATAAGTTTACATATCTTGAATTACTTGAAGATGAGGACTTCATGAGCAATCTCTTTGAAGAATATAAAGATATCTTGCCAAAAGAAACATCATCTTCCTCAGAGTTTCCAGATTTCAAAACAGACGATAACATCGCTGTTAAAGAAATTTTGTATCCTTTTGGAACATTCACAAAAAGTGTTAGCTCTGATAGTTTAATCTCAGTGGACGCGGATCAAATGAGACCGATTTCCATGAATTTTACTGAAATGGATTTGAAGAATGTTCATGGTATGCGAAGGGTTTGCAGTGAAGGATACATAAAGGTTTGGTTTTTGATTACTTTAATTTCTTCATTGTGTTTGCATGCGTATCTGAGATCTCGATGAAGAAAATGGTTAAATGAGCATTGGGTATTCTTGTTCTTGGGTTGCAGCCACAGGTAACGAGTGATCAAGTTCAAGAAACTCGCATGCAGAAGCTTTCGAGATACAGGAATAAGAAGACAAAGAGGAATTTTGGCCGAAAAATTAAGGTGCATCACTGCATCGTTTCTCAAAATCTTTTCTTTTACCATTTTCATAAGCGGAAGGTTAATGTCAACAATGGATAATGGAGCATTTGCTTTTTACAAATCATCATTTTTTTTTTTTTTTTAAAAAGTTTCTATGTCTGATGAGGAGTCTAAGTCTGATGTATACCTGAAGGTGGAATGGTGTTGGTGATGAGGTGGCACGCTACTACGCGTGGTGTATACCTAATGACCTAAAAAATAATGATGAAAATAATTTATCACTCGAATCTATGTAACATCCTGGTGAAGTTATTGGTAGCCTACGATTGATTGCTTATAGGGGTCCCACAATTCTTATTATATGGCCATGTGTCACTAAAATTATTACTTTGTTTTTTATTTAGTATGCTTCGAGGAAGGCGTTAGCAGATGGTCAACCACGGATCAAAGGAAGGTTTGCCAAGGCTGAAGAATCGGAAGTCTTCAGAAAGTAATCAGAGAGATTGGTAAACGTCATAAATCGGCATTTGGAAGAAACTGGAATCTTGTAGTTAAATGTATAAATCTTTGTTGATCCTGGATGCTGCTTGAGTTGTTTTTTGTTCGGCTTTTGTGGATGTTATTGTATGATTTGTATCCAAGCTTCTGTTGAATATATAGAAATGCTACTTGTAATAAATCATATCAAGATGGAGTGAAAATGTGAAAGTATGTTTGAAAGATACTGTTTTTGGGGATCCGAGTTATGTTCTTGTAAGGTAAAACAGGAAAGTTTTTATATGGAATATTTGAGATTTTTTTTTCTTGTGATAAGATGGAATTCAAATCTTATGATTGACTTGCTTAGTTTGGGCTTTCTGGGCTGGCCCATATCCATCATTGTGTTGTTCCATATCTGTTGATAAAATTCTGATTTAACTACTTAAATTTATAAGATATTATAGTGAACAAGAAGAACAAGGTTTAAATATCGGGGTGAGTAAAAACCGAACCGATAAAAGAAAAACCGTAATAATCCACAACCAAAAAACCGAAACCGACGCAAAAACCGATAGTGCGGATTTTATATTTTTGAAAAACTGAATTTATTGGTGCGGTGTAGTTTTTATCTAGAAACCAGACCACCAAAACCGAACCGCAAGCCTATTAACAATAAAATAAATCACTAATTTATATTATACAATTATACATATTATTTAAAAAGCTAATAAATTTTAATTTATACTTACATTATTATTGAACTTGACGATAACTAGTAATTAGGTATTAGGTAATAATTAGTAATTAGGTAATATGTGAGTTTGTCATTTCGGATTTGTGACTTAATGATTATGTGTAAAGTGTAAACAATACATGGACTACAACTTGCAATCTTGTAACTTTTAAGCACCAATTGAATAAAAAATGAGCTTGTGAATATGGGTTGCAAATGAAGTGATCAAGTAAACAACATAAAATACTCAAAATTACAGCTTCTAAATGTGAGGAAATGAAATGACAACATCTCATACAATCATAAATATTCACATGAACAGCACAGTTAAAAAAATCGTACCGGTGAACATCAAAAATCGTACCATATGTTTGACTCAGTTTAAAAATCGACACCAAACCACTACAAACCGAAACCGCACTCAAAAACCGCAAAACCGAACCAATGAAAAACCGCACCCAACGGTTTCTAGAATTCAAAAACTGCACCTTGCGGTTTGTTGTTCGGTTTGACGCTAAAACCACACCATGCTCACCCCTAAGTCGATATATGCGCGTTGTGCAGACAATATCTTTGAAATCTTTACAAATATATGTTTTTTAAATATATCAATGACTATGTTTTACCTCTTATATAACAAATCTTATAATGGTCTTTTAAAATGTTAATTATGAATTATATGATAATGTAGACATCTTTTAAAATTCTGTAATTTCAATTTTCTCAATGGTTTTTAGATGCGGGTTACTCATGAATAAAATTAAATATATTATACGTTTTAACGATATTTATAGTTGTTGTTATGATTAATTAATTTTAAAAAGTTTATTTTCTTAAGATTTTAATTTATATCATTGTAATTATTTAAAATATTAAACATTGTTTTTGTTAATAAATGTAACAATATAATTTTTGTGTATAACGTTACTTTAAACTATTGTTGTTGTAAATTATTTAAAATAACGTATTTAGAAACTCTTAATTATTTTAATTTGGTTTCGGAATTTTAACATTTTAAAATTAATTTGAAGAATATTGTTAGTTTCTTTTATTGTAATTATTTAATACAACAAACATTGTTTTTGTTTTTAAAAATAACATTATGAGTTTTTATATAATATTACTTTTAACTATTTTTAACTATTCTTATTGTAAGTTATTTTTAAACTACTTATTTGAAAATTCTTAATGACTATAAATAGTTTTATGGTTTTTTTTGTTAATTAAGGATTACAATTTAGGTTTAACACTATAATTTATAACTATTTATAAAATAATTTAACTATTTTGCATAAAATCATAAATTATATAAAAATTGTGATTTTAAAATGACAATTTCTCACATACAACAACATATTTAAACTAATAAGTTAACTATAAGATGTTGAAAAATTAAAGTCATGATTTTATAAATAGAAGTAAAATATGATATTTTGATATTATAGTTTAGTTAGTTTGTGATTAGAATATAGTTTTTGCATTAATTTAATATTATTAATCAATTTATAATAATTATTAGCATGAAATTCAAAAGTCACGGAGGTTTTAAATGCATGTAGTGCAAATAAAAATATCTCTTTTTTTTTGGAAAGGGATCTTCCCTAACGAGGGTTTCCGGGCCAGCTTTCGCCCACCGACTAATCCCCCGCTGCAAACATAAAGCTTTGCTTCATGCCCTGGAGTCACTGCAGGCGAACCTCCATGGCCACAAGGGCTGAGTGGTGCCAGGATTTGAACATGGGTCAATAGGTTATCCACCATATCTTCCACATGCTTTACCAAGTCACCACAACCCAAGTGGTTATAAAAATATCTCTTTTATAAGTATACCATGTGTATTCCCATGCATTGCATAGTAAAAAAATATATGATTAAAATATGTTGAAATTTATAATTTTATCTATGGCTTTTGGTCATTTTTTATATATAAGCCTATTAAAATTGGAACCTACGACCCTAGAATATTGGAACCGATCTTGAAACATGTTATGTCGTTTTTAATATTCCAAAACTGCTCATAAAATTATCGTTATTAGGGTTCTAATTTTTTCTATTACGGATTAAATTGATTGACTATTACAACATAAGAAAAAATAATTAACAATATAAATTATTGATAACGTATATACAATGAATTATTAGAAAAGTTAAATTTATAAATAAAAGATGTTTATAATTGACATCAAAATACTTTGTAATAGATTCTAATTAGCCTAATAATAATTATAAAACCCAATATGAGTTTTAGCCCTTATATGTTATTAGAAAACATAAATTTTAAGACAATTAAATGATTTTTATTTATGAGAGTCTCATGCCATTGTGTTTTTCATTAGTATACCATAAAATTAGAGGTGCAAATTGCAATGGTTAAATTTTATTTCACTTTTAATTACCTTGAAGTTAAATCATAAACATCTCGTTTGAAAAGATCATGAATGATTAAACTATTTATAATCAAATAATAGCGTGTAATGATATATAAACAACTCAAATTTACCATTTTTATGGAATATAACAAAATAAATTTTAATAAGCTTTATCAACTAGATAATTGTCAACTATAAGACCATTTCCATGTAAGCAATTATGAATATCCAACACAACATGAAGACCTATAAAATTAAATGCCGACATCCACTCCATTACATCATCCTAAAAATTACACCCAATGAATATTTTTAAGAGTCTACTTATACAATTTGAAGTTGAATGAACATTAACCTGCACCATCTACCAAACTCCATTATAATTTATATGACATAGACCATCGGATTTAGACTTTAGACGAGTAGTTGCATAACTTCCTTTGGGGAACCCATTGAAAATGATTATAACTTTTATCAAAAGAAAATGAAAAACTTTAAAATAAATTGAACCACCAAAATTTTAAAATCAAGAAGCATGAACTATGCTAATTGTATCCATTCTTGTTTTGTATTGTTGTGAAGTAGTATTGTTCCTCATATGTATCTAGAGGTAATGATTATAGCATCTTCATATATAATATTTTCATTCCAACAAAAATCATAATTATACAGTATAAATTTGAAAATAAAACAATATTTATTACCATAAACTTTCGTATTTCCTTCGCATGTCCATCTTCCTCTTTATTATTATGCATGCTCTCCATCGATAATCTTTTTGTATGGAGTTTCTAATCTATCTCTCAACAACTCGCATAACTCTTTACCATTCTAATAAAAATCTACCATTATGAACTCTCTCTCTCTCTCTCTCTCTCTATATATATATATATATATATATATATATATATATATATATATATATATATATATATATCAATGTTAATCAATTGGTATCATAAGAACAATTAAGTATCGTAAGTTAAAAAACTATTGAGTGGTAGTTGTTATATAGATGCTAGTGAAAATTTATGTAGGTTTAAATAGATATTATGGAATCATTATTATAAAGAAATATGAAAAAGACATAGAAGTTTCAAATGATTGTGGTGATAGAAAAAATGCATCTTTTATAAGTATAGTATGATATGATAGATGACATGATTGGAGCCGTAGAGAGCAATATTTATCATTTTTATATTTCTTTAAAATTTGGGTTGTTATTATTTATCATGTACTTATGGTGGTTTGGGTTAGGATTTTTTTATCTAATTTTTAAAATTAGAGTTATTCTCAAATATATTATATTATGAGTTTTTATATTTTTACATAAGCATGTATAAATTTTCGAACATTAAGAAAATTACCAACAATCCTACCAAAAAAGCTTGATAACTCATGTCTATGTTGTTTCTGACATAAATAACATAAAATACAATCCGAAATTTTCGTTTTTCAATCATTTAAGAAAACCATAAATCAACCATCATCATATGAAAAAAATCATAAATCGTGTATCTCAAAACATCATATCAAATAATATATCAAAATCATGTAACAATATCAAAGTCTGAAACATCCCAGACTAAACTGTGGTGAGTGTCATGCGATCATCCTGAGCCCTTCCTCTTGCTAGTGAAAGTACCTGAAACCAAAACAGAAAACCATAAGCACGAAGCTTAGTGAACTCCCCAAACTACCGCATACCATACACATAACATATAATCATATCTTGGGCCCCGCCCCTGCTACGTCGAGTCTAGCTCGGCATCAGCTTTTCCGGCATTGAACCCTATTCGGCATCGGGCCCCGCCCGGCATCGTGCTAATCCCGGCATCGAGCAGATCTCGGCATACATATGAATATATCAACTAACATATAACATAAACACCTATACTAAAATGTAAACACTTATCAGGGCCCGCCCGACATCGGACCGAGATCCGGAAGCATACTAACATTCCTCGAGAACCGCCCCGACATCGAACCGGAGTCTAGAAACATACTACCATAACATACTATACATTCCTCAGGCTTGCCCCTGCATCGGACCTAAGTCTGGAACACCTAACACATAACAAACACATGTAAGAATCACAAAGAAATCAAGCATACACAAATTCCTCGGGACCTCCTCGACATCGGATCGAGATCCAGAAAAGCATATAAATCTACATCGGGCCTTGGCCGACATTGAACCG